AGACTTGAAGACCAAGTTGGGAATGAGTGGCCTTAATTGAAGGCTTGAAGAAGAAGATTAATAATGGCCAAAGACTTTCAAGACCCCTTTATCATTAGCTTAGACTTTGACTTCTTCTTCATAAAAGGCATTAGTAAGCCACCCTATAAATAGGAGTGTCCTCACTTAGTCTTCCTTTTTCCTTACACCATCGCCATCTCACACGTCTACCCCACCATTCGGCCACCCCTTGCTCACGCCATCCTCCCTCTCTCACGCCATTCACTTCTTCTCCCTCACGCCAACCCCTTTGTTGGCTTTTCTTTGGGACCACTTCTTGGTCTAAGTAGAGTAAGTAAATTCCCTAATCTCGGCATAAGATGTTACGATACGTTGTTGACTTGTGTATTTATCCGAGCCATGATAGGGACTTGCTTGTTGTTGCTTGTGTGCTTGGTTGTTTTGCAAGACATAATCATAAGTCAAGCACGACTCGGTTGCGAAAGAGGGAACGTATGTCTTGTACGCACGTTATGGCGTTTGGATTAAGACTTACTTGGCAAAGTTTCGATATTTAGGCGTATTGGATCCGAGCTAAGTATAGTTTTGTTCAATACTTGGCGTGTCGGATCAAGTCATGGGCCCTAGACTGTGACCGACATATTAGATGATTTAAACTTGTTATCCATGAATCACGTGCACTCACACCTTCGGGCAACCTTGTTTGCTTGGATTCCTAAAGAAAGATAAGAAATCGATTTGCTCAATGTTTGTGATGCATGGATACACTAGGGACTAAAGCCGTCTATGATGGATTTCGAGACGTTGCCCGATGGATTTCGGATGCCCAGTGAATTCCGGATGCCCAATGGATTTCGGAAGAACCGATGGATTTCGGTTAAGAATAAATGAATCTTGTGTATTTGTTCTTACACGCATCGTCTAAGTACCATGCTTGATGTTCTCTTGTTTGATGTGAGTGCCATGAATAGTACATAAGCAAGGTGAGATGCATCTTTGCTATTGATCTGCCATCGATACCAGGGTGGTAAGGTTGGATGCGTATCCGATGGCGATTATTTTCTCATAACTTGACATTAGTGGATTTACTTATTGAGTCCTTGACTCACTCCCCATGTTTTTCCTCAGACTTGTAGGATAGCGTCTCCGCCTGTGCGTTTCGGTATCCCCGTGGAGCTTATAGTGGACGTTATGGACGTCATAGATGTGGAGCAGGGTAGAGCCTATCGAAAAGTGATTTATCAAGTCATGGTCGATGAGGGACTTGACAGCCTCATTCCTCATAGGTACAAAGCTCGGTATATGTGGACAGAAGGTGAATTGTTCGGACCCCTCCGCAGGTTCAATGGCCCTTTTGGTGGTGCTAACGGATCGACACCCGAGAACGTTGCAAACGAAGCATAGGCGGTGGATTCGACTTGGGAGGAACCGAGCGCATTTGGGAAGAAGCTTTTTGGGGAGAACCTTTTTGGAGGGAACCACGGTAGCGGTGATAGGGTAACCCGATCTTGTATGTTATAGCAGATACACGTATGTGAATCGGCCCGTAAGAAGAAAGGGCATGTAAAAATGTTTGGTTTGTAATATATGCCATCATATAAATATAAGGTTTGATCATGATGCTTGTTTTAACTCTGTTATTTGTTTGATCTTGTTGTGATTGTCCCGAGCTTATGCTTCCGCATGTTCATAACGATAAGATAAAATTGAACGGGATGTCGTAAAGTAAGCCCACGGGTCACGGTCTTGGCCGGGATGTGACATGCCAGAATATTATGTTCTGGTAACTATAAAAGAAGTATACAAAACCTCTCACTTACTTTCTCGGCGCAAAATAGAATGTCATTTTATGCGCTATTGTCGATCGCATTTTTTTTTGTTAAAGATTATCTTATTAACATTTCTTTGGCTAATAAATTAGTCATTCAACCATATTAACATATATATAAATCTCAGCTAACCAACATATAACGAAAATAAAATCGAAAAGAAAAGAAAATCAAAAGGTGGAACCCAATAACTAAAAGCCCATTGTGGATGTATATGTAATTGTCACGAGCCTTTTTTATCGATCAGATTTCTTGCTAATTCATTAGTGCTTAATTAAATGAAGAAGACAAAACTCTAACTAGCCAATAGAGGAAAAAGAAACACAGATTGAAACTTTGGTAACTGAAAGAGAGAAAAGAGTACAACCGAAGCTTAAACATCTAATATGCTTGATTTTTGTAAAAAAAAATTATATGGTTACCTAAAGTCAGAATATAAAAGTCAAAACTTTAACGTTTATGAATCCTAACATAATTTGCAGAATCATACCACTCCATATCCGTGTACGGCTCTCTACATCTTCCATGATCAATATTCCAACTTTTCACAGAGCTTATTCGTCTTAAGAAGAAAAGAAATCCGTCAATTGTTTGACGTATGTTAGCTTAGGAAAAAATCTCAAAAGCAATCAACATCTTTATTATGCTATCAAGAGAGAATAATAAAATCTTTCAAGGAAATACTTAGTAGGAAGAGTTATGGCAAATGCTAGAATTTCGTAGAACTCTTCATTTGCACTACTAAAACTTGTTAAATTCCATTATTTCTATTGTTGAACAAAGCTCGTGACATTGAATGAGGCAAGTATAAATTCCACGTTGGAGCAAAAAAGTGGAGTCTGCAAGAAAAATACTCCTTTACAAGGAGAATGATTGACCTCTTTCTATTGAGAATCCTATTTGTGAACCTTAGAGGTAAGTTTTAAAGAAAACACTGATGTCATGTATATTTATTTGGATAGGTAGTTGGAGACTAAATATCACATCTGGTGTAAATGAGTCAAGCCACTCGATTTCCTCGACTCCCCATTGGACTCTTTTCGAGTTGAAGCAGCTTAAGTGCTGTATTGAGCCAAGTTCGAGTTAGTTGCAGTAGATGGTAAGCATTTGAATTTCCATATAGTTTTATTGCATATAATCTCATTGTAGTTTTGGAATTTGAGTCTGGGTGTAGATTAAAGTTTACATTGCAAATTGAGTATAGAGTTAAGTTGAGCTCAAACTTACTGAAAGTCTAATCAAGTCGAGCCCTAGCTGGACATATCAAATTGGATTGAAAGCAAATTGAGCATTGAGTCATGCACAAACAACCGAGTCGAGTCGAGCCGTAGCTGGAAAAATCATCTTGGATCGAGATCAAATCAAGTATTGAGCCATGCACAAATAATCGAGTCGAGTTGAACTTGAGAATGATAATATATTAGCTCAGCTCAACCAAATTACAAAATTAGTGTCGTAAAGAGGCCAAATCCCACCATATAATTTTCAATGATTGAGATGTGTTTTTCATGTTACTTTTACCTTTTTCAATTCCTTTTATCAATTTAATTAGCGTATAATGGATCCTTTACTAAGGATTACCAAAAGTGAATATTAGTATCAATTACCGTTACTGTTTAATGAGGTATTATAATTATAAAATTCTATTCTTATGTATCTTAGAATCAATCTTCGAATTTCCCGTTCAATTTACATAGAAAAGGATTTGAGCCCGTAACTTGTCAAGTCTTCCAAATTTATTTGGATTTGTGTAGATAAAACCGTGTTAAGCACATCAATATATTAAGCAGGTTAGTTATTAACTGAGGCCAATTAATAGTTTAACCTCAAAGAAGCTATCAGGTAGTGTAGGTCATGTCGAGTTGGAGTGACCAAATTTGACGGATGTCAATATATGGGTTGTGTTTGGTTTACCTATTGAATAAGCGAATCGTGTACTAATTGATTTATTGACTTGACACAATGTAGAGACTGCCGCCTTCCCTTGTGAGTACGAAGGTCGCTATCTCTGTAGAGATCATCAACCATAGGTAACCCTATTAATTAATGTCGTGTTTGGATGCACGCGTGTAAGTTAATGTTAGTTGGTTGAAGGCGTTTTTGGTCGTTGTCGTCATCTTCGGCGAGAGAGAGAGAGAGAGAGAGAGAGAGAGAGAGAGAGAGAGAGTGGGTTCTCATAATTCTCAAATCAAGGACAGATAATGTTGCTAATGTAAAGGAAATCAAGTGAATTATGATTAGTTTTTTGGATAGCTAGTAATTAAGAGATATTCAATCACTATCTAACAATGATTAATAATGCATGTCATCCTCTCAACCATTAGCCGCCATCAACAACTCTATTACCACTATGTTGCTCAACACCTTCTAGTCAGTCTATTAGCATCTCAAGCATTTTTCTTTCATCAAAAGGCAACCTTATGATTATGTAACGCTGCATTAGTACATAAAATTTTGATTTATAAAATTGATGAACTAAGTCACGCGGTTTCTACGATAAGCGAGCACTCAAATTAGTAGCTCATTTTTAACCAAAAAAAATAAAAATTAGTAGCTCATATGTACCTCCAATAATAATAGTGTACCCTAGAAGGCACCGTACTGATGTTACAAATGTCATAAATTTTTTATACTTTAGTACCGATTGCTCTGCATCTCCACATTGTTTCTTATACGAGCACATCGTTCTTGGATTTTTGTCCTTCGCGTTGCTGCTACATAACAAAACAACAACAACTAGAGCTGGAAGTTGAATACGTATTGCCCAATCTTGTCCTACTTTCATTTCCTTCCTTCACTTATATCACCCCGGTCCTGCCAAAAATGAACCAAGTCCCTCTTTCTCTCTCCCTCGAAAGGGAAAGCGTAAATCATTCTTTTTCTACTTGGTCAGGGAGAAGTCCAATTCCCTTCACTCGTCTCAACCGAACCAGAATGACACTCTCGTGGACTCCTAGCCCCTCATTCTTAATTAGAGAGTCACGAGAAAGCCCTCTTTGTTCTTTCAATTCTCATCTTTCAGAGAGAGAGAGAGAGAGAGAGGGGAGTGTGCGGTGCAGGGGCGGGGCAGGGGTGAACTGATAGAGAACTTTCAAAGGCGCTCCTCTTCTCTCTCTCTCTCTCTCTCTACCCTTCAATCCACTCGACTAGCCTTTATATTGCAGTCTTCAACTGCAAGTCTTGTGAATTTTGCCTCACCTCTAAAACCACCTTTTCTTTTTTCTTTTTTATAACACTTAGCATCTTTCCCACACACCCACTTAACCTGAAGATTGCTTTAACCTCACGTTTTTCTGTCTTTCTCTGTCGGTACCAAACCATGTAGGTCTCCCCCACCAACAAACCCTCCCTCTCTTTACTCTTCAGCTCCTCCTTATTATTAGCTAATTTGACCATCCCCATTCTCTTCTTCAAGACTAAGTTCTATTGTTTCTTTCTTTTCTTTTTTTGTTTGTTTGTTGCAGGAGAGAGCTGGAAAACAACTCCTTAGACCTCAACAACTTGCCTGAGGATTACACTAGAGATGGTAATAAGCAAGTGTTTGAGGGTAGTAGCTCCTCATCAGGTATCAAGAGTTTTCTCCTTTAGACTGCTAGTTTCTTTGGTTGAGCAAAAGCAAAAAAAAAAAAAAGAGGAGAGAAAAAAGAGGAGCTCATTTCACTTTAGTCAATACAAAAAACCAGTACTATTTTATGAGCGAAGAAAGAGAGACATTGTAGTAACTTGCCAAGCTCGAAGTTAAAGAGCGAGTTTTGAGCTTTTACAGTGTGGACCAAAGGTTCTCATCTTTCTCAAAATTAGAGACAGTCGATCCAAAGTCGATCTTTCAAATGGCGTGGTACGACCCTAAAAAATAATCTGGGGCAAGAGCCGATTAGGGTTGGACTTTTTTTTGGGCGAGAAAGGTCAAATCGAGTTGCTTTAATTGGTTGACAGGGTGCAGGAAAAAGAAGAGCGACGGAAAAGAAGAGTGCGGCAAGGTCTACGAGTGTAGGTTCTGTTCCCTCAAGTTCTGCAAATCTCAAGCTCTTGGCGGGCACATGAATCGCCACCGTCAAGGCACGTCCTCTCTCTCTCTCTCTCTCTCTCTCTCTCTCTCTCTCTCTCCCTCCCCTTTTGTTATTTCTCTTAATTAGGAGGAAGAAAAGGAAAAAGAAACGAAGTGTGAACTGTTCTGAACAGTTCACATACACTGTTGATGAAACCCGAAATGGACTGTGGACGTCGGTTAATGATTTTGCTTTCGGTGAAGGCCTAGTCATGTCAAATCTCGGTTTCTCCCCACGCACACACGCACAAACTCGGAGTAACAGTTGGGCTTCGCTGAAATTCTTGAGGGGAACTACTGTTGGGGTTTTGATTTGAAATGATTTGTGCTATTGTTGTTTCTTCGGTTGTTGGGTTTGGTCAGAAAGAGAGACTGAGACACTGAACAAGGCTCGTCAGCTGGTCTTCGGTAACGATACCCTAGCCGCTCATCCCGCCCTTCCTCATCATCATCTAGCGTATGCTCTCTCTCTCTCTCTTTCTCTCTCACACACACACACCTAGCTAGATCTTTTCTTTTTAAGCATAAAATGGAAACTCTGAATCCCAAAACCAAATCTGAACTTTTTTATGGAAAAAAATGAAAAGGAAAGGATGGGATTCTCATGTTTGGTAATTTTAACCGGACTTTTGTTAAGTAAATAACTTTTCTTGTTATAATGTAATCAAATTCAAGATTAAAAACTTATCCTAGTAAGTATATGGTTAATGTGAGCTTGTTCACATCACCCTTCCTTAACGAATGTGTGCTCAACCAATGTGCAAAGATTTTCCCATTAATCTTTTGGGTCATTGCTTCGTTCAAGCTTAAGTTCAGATATGAACACATACATGTGCATTAACCCAAGTGGGGATCTTTGATTTCTCAGCAGCTGCCAATCGATGCCGGGAGGCTATCACACGGCGACCAACGTGACAGATCCGCCGCTTCCATACAGATCATCAATGTACCCTCCGCCGCCGCCGCCGCCGCGATTCTTCTCGGCCTCCTCCTCATCTTCCATCGTCCAACCGCCGCCGCCTTACCTATACCCGTCGCCGCCCCACCTTGTGGCCTACCCTTCGCATTACAACAGCAACCAGCACCCGGCTGCCGGCGATAACTACTCGATGGGCCACGTATTTAGCAGGAGCTCGAGCTCACACTTTGGCACGCTGGAGTCGAACTACACCTGCATCGGGGCTCCGGTCGGGGAAGGGTTCAATGCACCCAGGGGAGGTGGCAGGGACAGGTCGCCGCAGGGTCAGAAGGAAGGATTGAATTGGGTGTCAAGGTTGGATCCTTCCTCGATCAATCGGTTTCAAGATGGGTTCTAAAAATTTGATCTTGTTGGACGTATATTGGAGTATTGAACCAAGTTCTTGAAAAGCCACCCTCAGAGACAGAGAGAGACAGAGAGAGACAGAGAGAGGACATGACAAAAACTGACTAGATAGAGGGGGTTTTCATTTCATGCAAGGGAGGGAGAGAGGAGAGAAGTTTTGGTTTATTTTGGGGGACAGAGGGAGGGGTTGAATGGTACAGCTTTTGGAGTCGGGTACACTCTCTCATCAGCTAGTTGTCCTGAGAGAGTGTGTGTGTGTGTGTCGTCGTCGTCGTCGTGTATTGGGTTTACGTATTCGATCTATAAATCAATTATGAATTGTTGCTATAATGTGTGAAAGGAAGTGACCAAAAGCTTGAGCTTTTAAGTGAGTTTGGCTGGTCGTGCATGTGGGACAAGGGAAGTTCGATCTGAACTGGAAGTTCCCAACCGCCCTCTTTACCTTTGCATGGGGTTGTAAGTTTGTGAATTCTCTCTCTCTCTCTCTCTCTCTCTCTCTCTACAGTGATCTCACTTGTCCAGAAGTATCTGTGCTCACATCATCGCTGGACGATAAGGACAGTGACTATGGCCTGGGGGTGAGAAGAACCCCGGCAAATAGTTTTCGTTATTCAGGTCTTGCTTTGATCAGTAGACCAGAAACAATCGTGATCCAGTGAACAGCCGTTTAATTAACTACTAGGCAAAACCTTCAGATTCGCTCTTTTCATCGGGAAGTAAAGAATGACGAGTCCCTTTCTATCCCGAAAGAATAGTTGCTTTCGTTTGAGGCTCATGTGTAGTTCATAGTGTCTTGATCATCGGGATAGGTTTCTGTTAAGGAATCCCCTTTCGACTGAAGCATCAGCAATCAGGTGGAGCAGATAATCTCCATTTTCGTGAAATTCGAAGTAATAAGCTCGACAAAAATATAATAGAGGTAAACTTATTAACTCTAGATCCTTACAGTATTCACTCAATCTCTTAAGTATTTTTCTCACAAAACTCCCAGAGAAAAACCCTAGGGTACATTCAAGAAATTCTGATTGTGTAATGTCTCTATGCATGCCTAACGTTAGTCAAAACCGGGTTTTAAATCGCGAGGACCAAAACGATACTGGTTTCCTGGAGGACTGGCCAGGCACCGGACCATGTTTGGCCCTGGTGCCTGGAGGGCTGGCCGATAACCCGGCCACCACATGTTAGCTGGGCACTCGGCTCCTACCAGGTAGCTTCAGTTACGTTGGCTCGTTCCTCCCTCTTCTCGCTCTACGGATGCCCCCTACCTCATCTCAAACCTCTCTTGTTACTTCAATTTTCACTGGAGTCGTCGGTCAAAACCCAAGACATACTCAAGATATTGACATATAGATTTGGGATATGGTCTTTTTTTTGGTGATTTTTTTAAAGGTTTAAGTAACACTATTCTAAGCTTTGGAATAAAATCCGTCAACTTCATGCCTAAAATACATCCAAAACCTATATACTTCTGTTAACGTGATTCTTGGAGGGAGAGAGAGAGAGCGTGTGTGTGTGTGGCCAGGGTTGGTTCTATCTGCTACTTTATACAGATATATTTTCGAGTAGGATCTACAGAGATAGACCAAATCTTTGAAATCACACATGAAGCAAATTGAATTGGCCCGTCCCTGAGTCTTTTTAACATGAGATGCATAGACTGATCGAGAATCACGCCACGCCAATTGGTGCCAATTCGAGCATCAGAGCTACACAGATTGTACTGTGTACTAGATAGGCTCAGCCGCTCAGCTATATATATGTGCGCCTAGCTAGGGCTTTTGCATGTTGTTTGCAATAACCTGATCTGGGTAAACAGCCAGCCGAACGCACGCTTCACTCACAGTCACCAAAGTGAGTGAATCACCGGTCTTTCCATCGGAGCAGTACTTGCATGCCATTGATGCATCTTTTGGATTCTTTTAAGGTCAAATGCCACCAAAAACCTTAAACTATATTTATTGTGACACATTTATCTTAAAATTTTTTCGTGATACCAAAAATCTCAAATTTATACTTGTGTGATACACTTACCCTTCGTCAAAGTTTTGTCAATGATAACCATTAAAAATCTGTCTACATGGATGCCAGAAAGCAAACGGTGTTAACATGACGCTCACGTGGCTTAAGTAAAATAAAAACGATATTGTTTTGATTGAAAAATCATCTAACAAAACCTTGGGGGAGAACAAATGTGTCACACAGGTACAAGTTTGAGATTTTTAATATTACAAGAAAATATTTACAGTAAATGTGTCGCAGTGGGCATAGTTTGGGGATTTTGATGTCATAAAAAAAAATTTAGGGTAAATATGTCACTATGGATATAATTTGAGATTTTTTTTATGACTTTTTCCCCTTCTTTAAAAGCTTATTCACGATCGAGATCGATTGGACTCATGTGCACCGGATCTGTCCAATTAATAGACTGTCAATTGGAGTGCATGGTACCATACCCAATGCTCGCAAAACACTTGTGGACATGTGCTCGTTTTGTCATAAAATTCAAATACTTAAGATTTCAAAGCAATTAAAAAACCTTGGTTCTTGTCAAAACGGAGATACTTACGAGTATTCATGAGTCTTCGGATACGATGCTCGATAGCATCATGGACAAATTCGAGCATAAAACATAGCTCAAGTGCCCAAGAAAGAATCTTGCGTACATGTCATATCAGGTGAGAGCAATAAATCAAGAAAATTATGTACCTTTGAATATGAAAGTAACATTTTTTCATGTGACAAGCAACATCTTGTTCAAAATTGTGCTTGGCTTATTATTCCATGCAAATAAAGTATTATGGTGTAGGAATGGGCAATGAACTTTGCATTATTTCGAACAGTGGCACGAAATAGAAGTGGGAATTGCTTTAAGCATTTGCAATCCTTTCACATAAGAGGAGTACATTTTTCTAATTAGATCCGCCATAAAAAGTTGTTTCGATTAGGCTGTAAAGGACAGATGATAGTCTACAAGGCCTTAGATCGATTTTGTCTTATTAATAGACAACAATCTATCACTGCCCAATATATTGACAATATCCTGTTAGATAAACGTGCAATTGAAAAAAGAAGAAGAAGAAAGAAAACACACAAGTTAAGAATTCTTATCCCATCAACGTCATGATATTATCGTTTTGATCCTCCTAGGCTCGTACCATTTCTTTGCTTAATCTGTCATCTTTTTTGTTAGGAAAATTATTTAACTTATCATATGGATGTCAATTCAATCATAAATTTTCAAATTTGATCAATTTAATCCTAAACTTTTAAGTGAAATTTCAATATTGTTATTCCGGCCAATTTTCATTAGGAAACTGCTAACGTGGCGGTGGACATTTATACAATAAGTTTATGACTTATTGGATAATATTCCCTTTTTTCGTCCCTCATCATATTTTGCTTTTTTATTTTTAATTTATTACGAAAAAGGAACTTGAAGTGAAACCATAATGACCACAATCCTAGATTCACACAGCGCCTCAAATGGAAGGATGAAAATTGAATGCTATGCAAGCAATTTGGCAACTAGAAAGAATATTATAGGCATGAATTAGATCTTTCAATAGCTCAAACTTTAAACCTAACAGTTCTATTGCTTTCCTGCTTCATGTGGTTTTGAATTGATCCATGTCGGACGTTTTACTTGTGTAGGAACATAAGTAGTTTGTTCTTGCTTAAATTTTGTAGGCGACTAAAAAGTTGATACCCTGTTCTGTCGCATGGGGAGACTAACATCATAAACAAATTATAATTAGATAACTTAAACGGGACCAAATTGATTTGCTCAAGCCACGCACTGTCTCCCATTTTTAATTTGTAGTTAAGTTTGTTAGTGGTTCATGTCTATAATTTATAACTTTCAAATTAGAGTTTTGGTTTCCTCCGACCATGAATATGGAAAAATACAGCCCTTCAGGACATTTGGATTTTTCCAAAAGGGCAATTGCTGCTCGCTAAATGGCGCTCTTATTTCGGTAGTTTTCTCGTACATTTGTGTTCTCAATCACATAATATTATTTTTTGAGAAATGATTAAATAATTATCCTTAATCTACTGTGAGGTTAACAGTATGTTCTGGGTCACAACAAAATAAATATCAAATAATTATAAATTATTGTGGGGTCTACCGTTTCAAGAATTTTTGACTCACAACATGTTATTACTCTCACAATGGCCCAAAGATTATTATACCATCAAAGCTCTCATTATTTTTTCTTAGCTAAGACTCTATGTCCCGCCCCTCCCTCCTTCATCTTTTCTCATTTTATTGTATTTCTTCTTCTTGCGTGACCATGGCCGAACTTTGTGCCATAGTTCTCGCAGCCCTGGCCGCTAGGGCTGAACTTTGCTACAAGCTTCGATGGCTCGATGGTGTAGGGTAGCTTAACTTGTGTGTTAGAATATTTAAATAATAAATCATGACTTTATCTAACATATTAAGCTTTTAGAACAGTTGACGGTGGTTTCACAAAATTTTAATTGGTATTAGAGCTACCAATCTTGAGGAAACCCTAAGTGCATTGGGTGCACCTTAACTTACACTATTTAAATATTAAATCACACCATCATCTAACAGCTTAAATTTTCAGTAGTTTCACAAAATCTTATATGGTATTAGAGCAGGAAATCCCGAGTTCAAATCTTTCCGGATTTTTCTAAAAAAAAGAAATTTAAGAGTAAATAATCACATTGATGTAAAGTGTAAACTAATGTTTTGAATCAACCTATCAGAGTTGAGCGGCAGCTAATTTTAGTCCTTTCCACAAGAGGGAGAGAGAACTTATTAACAACCCAAAAAAACATAAATTGATCTTGTAACCCCAAGAATTTGGCCGATTCAATAGTTCTTGTATTCAAATCATAGCTTCACCACTCGTATTAACCTCAGGGATCATGCTCATCAATCGGATTGTGAAGTCTTACTCGATGCACGTGAACGGATTGATTTATATGTACCTATATTTGTTAATTGAGTCATAATATTCGATACCTCGTATTATAAAAAAAGTTTTATCTTATTGCATACAGAAAAAGTTCATTAATTAATGAATATTGTTAATGAGTGTCGCGGGGCTTGGCTAAACATATTATATCGTATAAGGAAAGTTTTGAATTTCAAAACATTGATTGAACGCTTCACCGAAACAATTGATACATTGAAAATTATATGGTTTCCCAATTAGCCTATTGTCAATTCTGACTAATTCCTGTGCAAATAAAGCAGTAAGTGAAATTAAATTCGGCTGCTTCCAACTCAATCATTTCATTTCAAACAAAGCATTAAATGCACTGAAGAGATCTGGCAGAGAAAAGCTGAAACGCGAGCTTCGAATTTTTCAAACATGATAAGCACCAATCTCAATGTGGGATCTCATAATAGACCACGCGCTCCGGAGCGAGTCTCCCTCTCTCTGTGTTTTTGGACATTATATTTATCACTCCGCTTGTTTTCTTCATGAGTCTCGCCTTCAGTCCCTGTTATTTCTCCTGCTAACAACGTTACATCTCTGTCGCTCTCTCTCTCGGTGTATGTCTGTCATCATTATAAAACCCTAAAAGTAATCAAAGGGTAGATATCTGAAGCTAAGCTAGGCGTTCGCTGAAGTTTTCATGCACAAGGGGGTGTCTTTGGTGAAAGAGACGTGCATTCGAGTTTCGGGGGGCGAGACTTTGAGACTTCAGTGTGTAAAAGTGCGTATAGGCTGTATTTATGGTTTTGTTTTTATTCGTAATACATGCATTGATTCAGGTAATACACACACACCTCTGCATGCATGCATCGCCTGTGCAAAGTGCGCGTATGGTGGTGGTTGTCCATCCATGTGTAGGCGCAGCCTGGCTAGGGTTTAGCCACTCTCTGCTCCCAGCGGCAGTGATAGAGTCGAGATAGTAGAGCTGGTTAAAGATAAATGGAAAAGAAAAAGAACAGTGCTGGGGCCGATCGGGAATAGCGACAAGAATGTCTTTGGTTCTTCTGACCGACGGGCAGACTGTTTTTGGACTTCGTTCTGGTGGCGCTGCTTTGGTTTTAAAGATGCTCCAGTCCAGTCCAGTCCAGTCCGGTCCAGCGCTCAGCCTTTCCTTTTGCCCTTTTTACGTTTTCTGTTCTTTTTTCTATAGGGAGGAAAACGCATGAAATGGAAGTAGATTCTTCCTATGGTCTTAAAATAGAACTGCATTCGGACATTATTGCCAACGTATGTCGCGGGGAAACAAATCCCGGGCAGGACTGCATGAACGTGGAAAAATAATATAGAAGAGATTTGAAGTGGTGTTAAATGGAAATGAGTTCCAAGACAAAACGTGCTTTTTGAGAGGGAAAATTATTAGAAAAGTCAAAACCTATTGTACAAATATCAATTCAATCTTAAACTTTTCAATTATGCTAATTTAGTCATAAGCCTTTTAACGATTTGCCAATATACTCCTTCTGATAAATTTTGGCCGACAATTGTTGACGCGGAAGCTAATCGTCTTATATGGCAAGGCCGGTGCTAACATGACCAAAATTTTTTATAATTTTTTTTTATTTTATTTTTTCCCTCTTCCTCTGTTGGTCGCTAGGCCTCGACAATGGTCGGCGACCGGCCACAGGTGATGGCGAGCCTCGCTTGAGGTTGCAAGGTCGACCCTCGCCGGCCATGGCGACTGGCGGAGGAAGAAGGAAAAAAAAAGAAAAAAGAGAGAAAAAATTATAAAATTATAAAAAAGTTCATTAAAAATAAATAAAAATTGTTAATGTTAGTGCCAGTCGTGCCACACAAGACGGCCAGCGTCCGCGTCAGTGATTGCAGGCCAAAATTGATTAGAAGGACTACATTGGTAAATCGTAAAAAATGTTTAAGAATAAATTGGCATAATTGAAAGGTTTAGGGTTGAATTGACAGCCGTACAATAGATTTTAAGATTTTTCGGAGATCATTAACGGATTGATTCCCTAAAAGACTATGCATAACCCCCATCTTTTGAAATAGCGTCAACAATGACTTACAATCACTAATGAGTACATCGCGCAAATATGTACCCGAAGATGTACGATGGATTAAATAAGTAGCACATTCTTGCATCCGATTCAATTTCAAGTTTGTCGATTCCACTATATTTTTGGCCGGTCTCAACCCACCTCGCACAGCCCAATATTGTTCAGTTTCCACGCCGGAGGGCATGCATTTTCCAATTCCAATGGCATAATTTTCTACACTATCTGTCCACACATATATACATGTCTTGCATAAGAACAAGATGGTCCACGCATAAAAACCCAGATCAACGTCGTCATTATTTTTCGCATTAGCATTTATATCTGCATAGAATTTAGCTTCGGCTCAACCAAAGGGGAACTTTGCTGGGCTACCGTATACTGTTTGCAGATTGAAATAGAGATGGCTCGAGTAGCTGTTCTGACTGGACCTTTCGGAATTTCCCAGGTTCATGAGTGACAAATTTAATGTATATCTGTCTTATGAGTATCCCTTTTAATCTAAATGAAGACTTTAAAGCATATGGAAACAGGTGGTCGGACCATGTAAAGACTCCGCCCGTTTACATCTCACAGGACATGTTTGTTTGCATTTGAAAGGAAAAAAATAGAACACGCAAATTTCCAAAGATTATGAAGAAGTTACATGTAAAATCTATGAGTCAAAGTATGAAAGTTTTAAAAAAATCGGGTCTAAGAATATAAATCGAGGTGCATGAACCGCAAGATTTATATTATACAAAAACTCAATCAATACAGTAGATGATCGTAGGTCATTTATAAGATTTCAACTCCTCATAATGTACTCAAACTGTTTATAAACTTGCCCCCTATACAAGAAGCTTCCGCACACTGAACTTGTAGCTTGAGAAGCATCAATGCTCTTGTTTATCTCAAGCTTCATAACGACCGTATCACAAGATTGTTGCCAAAGAGCACACTCATAGAATTTACAAACAAATGATCGTTTCTGTAAAAGACCCTGAGCACAAAACATTTGCTTCTAGAATTCTTTATAGTCAGCTTCAACACATTTAACAGTTTTTCGAGGAGAAGAAGATGCATTTACCTTCTCAACTGCTTAACCCTTTTGGAGATGGTCAGCATCATGCACTCGCCAGGACGTCTTCACACCTAAAATGGCCATTACTTACATCTGTCTCGCTTCTTTATGGAAGAATTTGACCCTGTTTAGACAATGCGTTCAACCTCATCATGTTCGGATACTAGGAGGACCTCCTGTCCTAACTCTTCTGCGTCCCGTACTGGATTTTCGCCAGCTCGGCAGCTGCACGTGCAGCGGCAGATGCGCGCTCCGCAGAAGCAATGGCAGCTCGAGCTATTTCCAGAATTTCAGATGATTGTGGCCTTGTCTCAAACTTTGAATCAGTCAGTGTTCCAGCATCTCGACTCTTCTGAGATGTTTCGATCTCATTTGTGCTGTGTGAGGATGTCTTACTAGCAGTCACAGGCACTTCAAGGCGTGCGTGTTCTTTGTTACTCTCTGCTGGAGTTATATCATGCGTCCCATTAGAAGAAGGTAACTGGAAAGAGACGTGCTTGGTGGGGGCTTGTGCCGGCGCTGCTGCATTGTAAGTTTGCTTAGATCCCGCCTGCATGTAAGTCCATGAAAACAAGAGTGAGAATATACTTGTTTCTTTCAGAAGCCTGTAACTTGCAGGCTGTTCAGCTAAGCAATGCTCGCTCAACACAAATCGATTTAGTCATTTAACTCAAAACGAAAAAAGCTCTAAGTGAATTCACTTAGAGGCCTCTGTCCAGTAAAAAGTGAACACCATAAATGGACCTAAACTATCATAGGGACAGGATATTGGTTTCTCTTTGATTATTCAACCACCAAGAAAATCAAAAAGTTGTTTACTTAAGGCAGCGAATAATTTTCAGAAAGCTAAACGTACAACATTATGCAAGATCCGATTTATAAGTAATGACCAATCTCTACTTGCAGTCGTTAGATCACAGACATGCAATTTAAATGGAAAGAGCATGATAACAAAGTAAGCTATAAAAGGTAGAGAACTTTGATGGTTTTCATAGAGGAAGGACAATATATTCTTGAACTATATCGACATAGCGTAGCCAGTTAAGGATCCGATCTCACTTCTCTACGCAGTTGACATTGAATCACAAATGGTAACCTGACAGCTCATTGATATATTCCAGAAGATGGAGATGCAGGAACTAACACTAACAGCCGGATTTGGGATCACACTGGAAACAAACCGAGGATCTACACAGCTACAATGTGGACAAGTGAACCTAAGATGCATGCATCAGATTTGGTAACTAAAGTTTCTTGTCAGGGATATGTTCTCTGAAACTTGGCTCCAACCCAAAACATCTTCATCAATTTTGCTGGCACTTATCATTTTGGAAACCTCTGACGCAATACAGCATATTGACTCTTCATTGAAAACAAAGCATAGTGGGGAGGATCCTTGATTCTACCTTATTCAAAAGAAGGTCGTTTCCTATATGCATAACTAAATCTAGAAAGATAAACAAAAATTACCAGGAGATCTTCATGCTTCTTAGTCAACTCTGCTTCAGTATTAGAAGAATCCCATTCCAAATTATGTTCTTGGGCAATGTCCTTTAAGACTTTGAGTCTTGTCTTGACTGGAGGAGCACAAATACTGAGCTTTTCAATTAACTGTGACGATCATATAAACGATTTAAGAGGTAAAAATCAATGGGTGAAGCATGATCAAAGTTAGGAAACAAGGACAAGCCAACTAACTTCACGATTGACTCCGGATTCAGGACGAAGTTCAGCAGCTGCTAAGACGAACTCCTTCCCATACTTAGTAGTGAACAGATTCTTGATCTGCAGCAAATCTGGCACATCTGAACATCTTGGAGCCGCAAAAATGATGCTTGCAATGGCTTCACGCAAATCAATCGGACACTCTCTGAGGCGCGGGAAAAAGTACTGTCAATTTGAAAGTTGAAGACCAATTCTGAGGACAAGCTGCTAAAGCAATTTCTCCATCGTAGCAGTAGAAACAAAAGCCATTCTTTTTCCTCTTTACTCTTCATGAAAAAACCCTCTTTATATTTACCTCCAACTTCCGTGTTACTATGTATGCAAATTGGCCACAAACCAATGAGCCCTAAACAACTTGACTACATCAAGATATAATCCGAATAGCTTCACTCAAAGTTCATAATTCACTCTGCATTCAGCAGTGCAATCCCAGAACCGTATATGATAGAATTGTGGATGATCTAGATTACCAGGGAGGAATCACCACATTTACAACTATATTAGCTGTCGCCTTATATGCATCAATGCATTCTACTTCTCAAGCTAATTGATGGTTCATGTTCCAATTGTCTCAATTGTGTCCTTTTGTCCTTGACACAGATGCCAAATTCTAACCAAAACTACCCTTCCAAGGAGAAGAGAAGCTAACATTACGCAACAATCTGGAAACACTTAAATATTGTAGGGAACCGCAAAATCAGGAAAATCAGGATAACTAGGGAGTTCAAAATATAAATATAAGCTATTCGGTCCAGTTCTCCCAAAAAAAAAGTTCCATTTCCTTTTATACATAGAATATTCACTCGGAAGTAGAAAAGCACTGTGCTTCAGGCTTGCTGTGATGTATCTCTGTGTGTGTTGGGTGAAGGTTCCTATCTCTCCAGGATATAGCCCAAACTTATACGCAAATGCTCCAGCACTCATATAGAGGATACTGATAATTTGTCTCATCATATTTTTTTGATCAATTAGTTATCTATTTGCATTGTTCGGGGCCGCTTAGGCCTGATGATGACATTATATTCTCCTTGACCTCCCCACTTAGTAATTCAAACTTTTGGATGAACTACCATATAAAATATATATTTACATGCGCCAAGAGCTAGTAACTTCCTCGATTCCACACAGAATTGGCACAGAATCCAGAAAAAAAGAATATCCAGGCAATTAATCTAACTGGCCTAGGAGCAACATTACAGTTTCAGCGAGATACACAACGACTTATCAAGTGGCCTACCTCTGACTTTCGATTATAGGGATCCGAGCATGAACAAACTCACAAAACAGCTCCAATATGGCATATGCAGCCATTATATTTTGTTCCCGTATAACATGCTCCACCTATGTCAACAAAAGCAATGATGCTGAAGAACAGCTCTCAACTGAGTGCACACGCCTCAAGGATCATGAGTAGACAGTATAAATCTCATAAAAAAAAATTCTCTGTAATTCTCGAAAGTACCCGGATGCGAGCAATTGGTTCTTGCCCAGCCTGCAAAAATTGGGCTATTTCTTTGCGCATGAGCTTGAGCTGCAAGTCCCTCTTGTTCTGGAGCAACTTGATCCGCGAGATTGCCAATGTCAAGCTTGTCTTGCTAAATAACAACCAATAGAACAGCACATTAAAACGATCAGTCAGAGTGCGACGACATGTACTATCATCACCTTAATCTCTAAGCACAATAATTCGGAGCTTTATCAAAAAACATAGCAACTAGGAGCGGAGTTCGTCGGTATGAAGAACCACCCTTTCGCCAAATCGCCTATTGCGAACAGTAAAGCGTCTCAAAACCACAACAACGTCTCAAAATTCCGGAACCCACAAAAGCACACGGCACCGGAGAAGGCAAAAGGCACGAAATTGACCTCAAGAAAGATGAATTAAAGCAAAGAACTGACCATTTTGCGCCGAAGACGCCCCTGTTGAACAGCTGGTTCAGAAGAGACATGGGGTTCTTTGTGGGATCGATAAAGGGTATCTACCGAGGGGAACGAATTGGGGAAGGAGAACTTCCCAACATACAGCGAGAGATTTGAATTGCCCCCCTGCGAAGACCCAAGTGCTCGAGGTTGCTGGCTCTGTTCTTCAATGGAGAAGACGATCAAGGAGCTGAAATTGGGGGAGGTGGTGAGCTGTTTCCTTGTTGGGTGCGATCAAGAATCGAACTTGGGCGGATTTTCGATCCGAGAGACGCGATTTATCTGTGAATTCGTGCGAACTCAGTGGATTTGGATGCATATGGGAAGGAAGCTTCTTGCTGTTGACTTTCCTCCCTCGCCCGACATCTCCGAAGATTGTGTTTTTATTTTTATTTTTTTCGTTCTTTTAGTATTTGGTAACATAAGACGGGAGGCATATTCCAACCGGGAGCCGTGATCACTGAATTCTAAAATATGTCTTAAAATTACATCCTTCAATTTTGATTCCGATCACCCGATTAACCGAACTTCCATTCATTTTACAGTTGATATTTTTGCGCAATCCAATCGATATCTTTGCGCGATTTTCGTTCGGAATGCTAATATCACGTGATTAAGATGATTTCATTACAATATGGCCATCGCACCAGCATATTACCATAAAAGACAAGAAAACTAATATATATTTGAATGTTAGAACTATAATTTGAAACGACAAATTGAGCTAGTTTAGCAAGTATGCTTTCCATTTGCTACTTAAGTAGATCCTAAGGATCATGAAACTTTTTTCAGACCGAAGCCTTGGTATAGAGATTAATAGTACCGGGAGACAAACGGACAGTCCTATTTAATGGTCGAAACAAAGCGCTTGAACCAAGAAGGATGAAACCTTGAACTAGACCATCGAGTTGTACAACTAAAAGGTCCTATTGATTTGTTATGCCGTCGACCGCAAACCAATTCCCCTAGGATATACAATTCATGCACCAGCAGTTTTTAAACTTTAACATTACACTTCTTGATGAGACGCGCCGGATCCGGGGCATCCTAATTTGCCAGATTACCGAACACGAGACCGGAATACAGTTTATATTGGCCACTTTCCTATATCCAAAGCATGCTGCATTGTGTAGGATGATAATGTCAAGTGAGCAACCACAACACACGCATTCAAATCAATGGTTTCACTTCATCCTCTTGAGTTCAGCTGGCAGATCAAGCCCTCATGCCTGAAATGAATACAGAGTGTGAAAACCGTAACACAGGAAACAAAACAACCGAGGCGATGTTGATGAAAGTACCAGTACCATTATCACAGCAAGACTAGCTCACCAGTTTGCGTCGCCCTTTAAGCAGGTGTCTGAATAACCAAATGAACAAAGCTACAAACGCACATTTGCCTCAATTCCAGTTTTCCTTTTTCAGGAGGAAGGAAAAAATTGATCACCATTCCCAATTTACATAACTAAGCAGCAAAAGGATGCATCAAGTTATATGCTTGTTTTAAAAAAAAAAGTCACTGGAGAAATTTTTCATCTTTCGACAGTTTAGCCCAAATACATCTTCCACCTCCAAAAGGAACAATTACAAAAGACAAGGCAAAGAAAAGGTTAACGACTTTCGAGAAATGGCCCTCAAATTCAGAGGTGATTGCTGTGATGAACTCTGAAAAAGAACAGGGGCGAAAAAATGAATAATGCTTTACCCAATTAAGCAGATGAGTCCACAATGACGACTAGGCCAGGGCACTGAACAGCAACATCATCAGGAACGGGACCCCGTTCTTTAACCGTGTCAGTGAATGTTGTTTGAAGTGCCCAATGTGCAACTTAACTATGATTATCTCAAATGAACTTGCTTTCAACACCAAAAGAATGGTTTTCTACTTGGGGGAACACCGAGAATCCAGCCACAAAACAATATCATCGAGGGCCATAAATATCTTTTCATCAGATTCGCCTTCAAGAATGCAGTGATACCCTCCTTCATAAAGCTTTAAGGTTTTATCCTTGCTAGAGGCCTTTTCGTAGAGAAACTTACTCACTGAAGGATCTGTCACCTTATCACCCGCTCCATGAAGAATCAGCAATGGAGATGAAACCTGAAGTACATATTGATTGACTTTCAGTTTCTTCTTGCTTGCAAACACATGCGAATAGGCAAGCAATTGTGAAGGCACGACTGGAAAACACCAACCTTCTCTACTCGTGCCTCAATATCATTAGTTGCCCTAAGAAGTTCTGAGGCAGTCTGCAGTCGCATTTGGTCATTGTAGCAAATCACATTGTAGACAGCCTAAAAACAAGGCAAATAGAATTATTGAACTTCTGCACAAATCTCATGAAGATCGAACTACCAGTTAGCTCATTGAGATTTTTTAGAAATGCAGTGCCCAATCACGACCAATATAACAGGAAACTTGAAAAAACCATGAAGCAATGATCAAGTTCCCTTCGTTTAGTTTTCTTTAAGTTAACAGTTAGTTAAGGAAAAAAAGAAAATTGGCCTTAGATGAATCCCCAAATTAACCCCTGAGCAATCATGATTGCAGCCTTTTTGATACTCTAACATCCTTGATCACTAAACGGTCACACGAGAATGCAACCTCCTTATACTCATGTGCAAAATAATACTAATAACACTTATTTAGGATATAAGCATGGTAAACAACTAGATAATAAGATGACCAAAACCTGATTTTAATAATTTGAACAGTAGTTGATCTCTTATTGATAGTGCTATTCCACCCAGTAACCATCTCCAATTGGGAAAATGAGCAGACATATTGTACAAAATTAGCTGAAAGGACATTGGTTCACACATTATGCAGTGATGTGCGAGAGTAAAGCCTAAGTCAGCGAAAAAGAAGTTGGAACTGACATATCATAAAATCTCTTGGCTTCAGAAAAATTAAAGCGGGACTGCTCTTCTGCGAACATAAAAAATGATTCAACATAGTTATGGGCATTGGCACGATAAAGTCACGTTCACTTCTGATTAGGCTATGGGCATCTTCGAAGAAGCAAATTTACATGTCATGCGACTAAATATCTCTTTGCGTAATTTGTGCTAGAAAGGTGACATAACTGGAATACTACAACAGGAACTCCACAAGCACAGATGCAGAATGCCGTTGAGAAATCGATCTGTTTCAACAAATCTAGCCAAATTGCATTAGATGCTCCTTTTACCGGTTCATGGCAGTCAGTTATAACTCTGCAGTGAACCAATTGATTAGTCTGTGATGCTGACTAATAAGCTTTTGCACGACTAGGACAAGACAGCCTGAACTTTCAACCACTCGCATAAACTCTAGCATAGGAGACCATAATGAAGATAACTAACCATTTTCCTTTTCTTCAAGTCTCTGAAAGCCAGCTCAGCAAGATCCTTCTGCGGGAAGAGCTTTGCTTTTGGCAGAATGCTAGACATGAGGGTCAACATTTTTACAACTGCTTCGGGTGGTCTAACAGCATCTGAAATCTAGAAAGCAATTAGGGTCAGCAATTTTTCATGTTAAGCACAGACATCAGTTCCCATTGGAACTTGGAAATGCGGATTCTATTAGTATGGGTCAAGACTAATGCAGAAAAAGCTTCGTATAGGCACTTTATATGTGTCGAGACACGTGTGCATAAGCACAGAGCATCGGTTCCGATAAGAACTTGAAGTGCAGTTTCGCTCAGTATCAAAAACTTCAGATCAGACAGAACAGGGCACAAGCATTAGTTTTTCCTGCTATACAATATGCATGCATGCATTCTTAGCGCACACATGATTACATGCATCGAGAGAGAGAGAGAGAGAGAGAGAGAGAGAGAGAGAGAGAGAGAGAGAGAGAGAGAGAGAGAGAGAGAGAGAGAGAGAGAGAGAGAGAGAGAGAGAGAGAGAGTAATGGTAAAAATGACTTACAAAATGGTGGTGCAGTAGTAGTCAATATGGCATTCTTGCGCATAGCATTCTTGAATGAGGATTTTGCCAGAGTAAGTTTTGTATGAGAAAATTATGGAATACCAAATTAACGGGTATATCTTTCACAAAGTAAAGGGAATTTTCTGTTGAAAAATATGGAATTTACAATACAATATTTATAGTCGTTATCATCCAGCATATACTTACAAATTCAACAACCGGCATAATAAACAAGAAACTGGTTTTTCTCAAGTGTGGTCATAAACCCAAGTGATTTACATTCATTATGCTGTCCACGAAATCATGCATCATTTGCACAGTCAATGATCATTTTCCCATCAGGAACTCATTCACAGTCTAGCTATAATTGACAATTTGATTGAATAATGCAGAGGATAGAAGAAGGTTCCTATGCAAAAGGACATGACAAAAATGATGACAGCTAAAGGTGATGGAGGACATACTTTACACATCGGTGCAACAAGGATGACTCCATCCCATTCATCAGGCTGCTTTAGATGAACCTTGAGAGTAACAGCTCCACCCATGGACTGTCCCAATATAAAGCGAGGCAATCCTCTCACTTCAGGTCTCTCTGCAATTCATGAAATAAACTCATGTAAGAAGTAGACAACCTATCAATAGTAGATCAATTCTGAGAAACGGATTTTTTCTCTATTGTGTGTGCGCGCACACTCGGGCACTCGTTGAGTTTCTTTTCCCCAGAGAGAAAAGGAGGTAGGGAGGACACAGCAATTGAAATGATCTTGATTGTTTTCTGAGGCAAATCCTGCAGTTCGCACCTTTGATTTTCGTGTATTGTTCAATGACGTTGTCGACTAATTCATCGAAGCTTGAGATGTAACCATGCAATCCATCTGAAAGGCCGAAACCTGGGTGGTCCAAAGCATAAACAGCATATCCTTGTGAAGCAAAGCGCCTGGCGATACCTGAAATCCCATTGTTCCAACAGCACTGCAAATCCTTAATTTCCATTTGAGTAATTGATGATGGCATAAGTCCACTATTATGGTGTGGCAACTGAAATTAACATTTCTAAATTAAGGAGTAATTGAGCCGACCTTCAAAGAAGAAAGTGCAAGTATCACCATAGCCGTGGCAAAAACACACTGCGCCCTTAATTTGAACACCCGCTTTAGGCAACCAGCTCTTACAGAAAATTTGGAGACCGTTTGAGTTTGTCTCATACCACTACATGAATAAACATTTGGAAGTTTCAACGACATTGTGCCCCATTAATAAAAATAAAGAAGCAGATACAGACGCATTGCTTTTCCAAATCTCTTACAAAACAACAAACACAGAAATCGATCAAACCCCAGCAAGAATGAATTAATAACAAAAAGGCACTTGCAGTTGCAGCGTCAACTTTTTTACCTCGTCTGTTCTGATCCCAGCAGGAGCCAGCTACACGCCAAAGCCACACATATATCCAAAAACCATCAAAAGATCAATGAAGAAAGAAACCCAATAAATAAATTATGCCCACTGCAAGAGAAATCTCAGCTCACCGCCAAAACGACCATCACAACCAAGCCAACAAAAACGACGAACCTTGAACAAGCAATGATCGAGCTGTCGCTGGACCTCGGTGAACGCAGCTCGCACCCTTCTCCGAGCAGGCGCGAAGTCCAGCCTCTGCGACGCGATCGCGTTCATCTCGTCGCTGAGCCCATCGATCGGCGGCCTCTTCTTGGCCGCGACGGTCAAGCGAGTCCCGGGCGACGGCGGCGATGCGGAGGAGCTCAGGCTCGGTTTCGCCCGCGCCGCCCGTGGGGAAGGAGCTCGCCGAGGGTCGCCGAAGGGAGCGTCGCTTCTCCGGCGAAACAGGGACAGCTCCGGCGCCCGGAATCCGAGGGTCAGCGCCGGGTCCATGGGATTCAACCCGGGGGTCTGGCCTGGGAACGCAACTACCAGGAACGACCGAACAAATGTCGGAAACGAGAAAGTGGAATCTGATCGAAATTATTTTTGCATGATTTTCACAAGGGGGCTGTCCGTGCATCACGTGCAAGCCCGCTTAGCGCTGCCGATCGCGGATCTTTCGAGAGATCTCATTGCAAAAACAATAGTCAAATAAATTTCGAAAAAAAATAGAATATAGTAAGTATCGAGTTGGTGTAAGAAATAAGGCACGAGCACGACTCATTCTCGCTCTGACCATCGAATCGAAAAGCCAATGAAAATTGTTTGGTGGTTAAGGAAATCCTTACCAAAGAGCAAGAGTGATAGTTTCGATTAGGCCCGCTCCGCTTATTCAGGTGTATATACATAGTGGGCTGACAGAATCGCATTTTTTGTTTTACATGTACACGCCAAGTCCCCCAATTCTCCCTGAAGCTTTGTCTTTTTAAGGAGGAGGGAATACTCTTATCGTGTTTTATGTCCAAGAGATGCAGATGTCCGCAAGTAATTTCAGACGAAACAGTTTAACCTCTTACTTAGAAGGGAATGAAAATAGTATCGCGTCGGTATAGAAATAAAGCACGAGCACGACTCATTGTCGCTCTAACTATCAAATCAAAAAGCGGATGAAAATTGTTTATTAATATTTTCTTTTATGTTGCTCCTTTTCTAATAAAACAAAATTGGGTACTAATGCTTCTCACCTCATCTTACGTCCATAACCAGCGTTCAGATGCCAAAACGTCGAGTCACGTGACTGTTGGGGCTGATATGCACTTGTTTACACAAAAAAAAAAATCAACTCTTTCATAATTGACGTGAAGTCGTTTTGGTCGAATAGAGTTTGGTGACATTGATAATTTCGTAAGGCAGTTTGTGGATGATTACGTAAAGAGCTTCTCAATGACTATGGACGATAATTATTGATGACCATGAAATACAGCTACTGATGTATTATAGCAAATGGTCGACGAACATCTTGTTTCCATAACAAAGCCAATGTGTGGCTGATGTAGTTATTGTAAATTTGACCGAGTGTTGGTCACAAAAAAAAAAAAGAGAGGAAGGAGATAAAGTGAAGATGTCAATTGAAGCACGGATATTGACATTGATGACGTGGCCATTGACAGCGAGACAACATGAACATTGAGAGGTCGTCAAAGGGGTAATCCACAAGACATGTTGACAAAGAACACAATGAGTTGGCCACCTAAATCTAGCTAAGTGTTTGGATAGAAATAAGAACATGAAGACTACGATACTAATTGAAGACAAAGTTATTGATCGACAGTTGAGTCTAGGGGCACTTCAGAGGTTATAACCGCTTGCGGATAGTGTCAACGTGCAAACATGGGACCTAAAGCTGTGGAAATGTGGTTGTATCCGCCTCTAGAGTTTTTTTTTTTTTTTGGGTCAGATTTTTTGGAGTATTAATAGCTTACAAGCAGTCATGTGAGCAATTATGTTTAGTAGATTGTACAAGGTGGCGTGTATTTATTGTAAAGGATACACGATCATCAAAAACAAATTCATGATGTACTTTTTTAGTTTATCAATATTAATGTCCTTCAAATTTTTGCCATCTAGAGTCCTTTAGTTTTAATTTATTGTCCGTCTTCTTTGTCTCGAATCACCCACTCAATCTACATAACAAAGGCAAAAGGACACTATAAGTGTCATAAGTTGTGTACGGAAATAACTTTGGTGCCATAACTTTTTTTCGGATCACTTTGGTGCCAACTTTTTTGAAAAACGATTACTTTAGTGCCAATGCTGACATGGCCATTGGAAATCTGACGTTGCTCTTTTTTTTATTAATTTCCGATGCTGACATGGCTCACCGGAAATCTGACGTGGCTTGCCGGAAATCTGACGTGTCTCTTTTTTTGGCCGGAGTCACTAAAGTTATCTCTTTTCCTCCGACTTGACACCAAAGTGATTCTAAAAAAAGTTATGGCACCAAAGTGATCTCCGTATACAACTTATGGCACTTATAGTGTCCTTTTGCCCATAACAAAATACCAAAGATTAACCTTTAGTGAAGCAACACTATTTCCCCAAATAATTTTAGCCTTAGATTTTAAAAGTTGCAAAAGAAGGCATATTATCATGCATTTGGGATAACTGGCGCCTGTCAAATTTGTTCATCCCAAACTTGCGTTAAAAAGGTCGATGGGGTAATTCGACATGGCAAATGGCTCTGATGTTTAACGAGAGAATGGCATCACTCCAGGAGTTTGGCCCTCTCCTCAAGGTCTTAGAGTTAAGTTTTGTTTTAGAGGAATGTAGATGTAAAATCTTGACTGCACCATATCGATACGAAGAAACCGGTTTGGACATCATCTTACTTTTAAAATAAGAAAGGGATAAAGACACCGCAAGTTCTTAAACTATTTTTTTGTGCAATCGAGTCCTTAAAGTATATCCCCTCATTAAGGATTGTGTGACACCTAGACATAGGTCACCAACTAAAAGTTAAATATGGCCTGCGTGACCCAAGCCTGTACGTTTCCTTTTTTCAAGTTTTATTTATATTCATATATTTTAAAAAATTTATATTCCAAATGTTGCGCAGGATGCCGTGTTGGCATTTAACGGTGACAATAGCCACATCGGCATTTTCATCCATAATTTTGACGGAAGGATCAACTCCAACCAAAAGGCATCTAGTTGAATGACCCAATTGCAAAAAAAAAAAAAAAAGAGTTTAGGAACCTTATTGAATAATTTTGGAAAAGCTGAGGATCTCGAATGCTTTTTATGCCAATTAAAAAACGATGCTATAAATGAGAGAATGACACCACCATCAATTTAAAAACAACAAATAGTTTGGGGCAATATTTGAGGATGAGGATTCCAAGTTCGAGTTTGGTTTTTCTCCATCAATCAACTCAGCTTCTTTACAGCACGTCTCCCCACTCCAGCTAGACAGTGGCGTTCGGGCGAGAAAATCTTGAAAACATGCAGTAAATATAAGCACATTGCTGTTCAGTTGGGGAAAATATTTATATGTCATCCACTTCGTGTTGTAGATTAGAATTTTGCATATAAATATTTTGGATCGACTTGAATATTTCATCACTTGCACGAGATGCAAGAATCTCGCACGGTGGAACCATAAGCTGGTTTTCCCTTACTAATTGTTTCACTAAAAAGTGCCGACGAAATTCTTTTGAAAATATAGATCGAGTAATACAAATTGACAAAGGTTGTGAAGGGTCATTTATCGATTTTTTGACACGAATCAAAAAATTAAAGGTACTAAGACTTGGAACAATGATTGCCAGCTATGTAAAAAGTACTAGAATGTAAAGGAAACCTGGGAGTAAAATTGAACAACGGGATGTTCTTTAATTGATTGGCGGTTTTTTTACAAAGAATACACTTGGAGTATTTATAATCCATAGTCGACCGTTTTATAGACGGTTACTAAGAAATTAAACATGCTTTACGTGCCTCATACTATTTAGCAACACTTGTCTACAAATAGTTGCATCCGAGATCATTGACTCCACTACTCGACGGTTACATTGCGCACTCTTCCACCTTGATGTTTACATGCTGGTATCGTTAACCTCATTGACCGGTGAACATTTTCGTCGGCAGCCGATGATGCTTGCCGTCGATGACTTTTCCGGTGAGTCGTCGATTCCCTTCAAGTTGTCGATCATTCTGTTCATCGATGACTTCCGTTTTTACCAAACTCTACTCTCATCGACTAAGTTCGTTGCCCGTCGAAACTAACCAAAAGTTGATCCTTTGCAGCATTAAGATCTTGTGATCTGTGACAAGTAGCGGACTTAGCCACTCGCTTATGCTCAATTGGCCCATTGAAATAAGTATGGTCCAGCCCATTTCGCTTTTCTCACTATAGACCTCAGTCCAGAATTATTAGGATGGGCCGACAGATGCAATTCAAAGTTCCTCGTGTAAGCCCGAAATTATGGGCCGATGCATCTTAGGGTTAAGAGTTCATCTTCCTAATATGGTACCTCAAAATTTGTTAGATGAGAGATTTCGAAACGCTAATAAATGTAGCCCGAACTCCGGAGACTCTGTGAGCTTTTCTCAAGCAGAGGTCGTTGCGTATTTTATTGACCCTGTAGAGACAAGACTAGCTAATTAAAAGATCGAGACGGAATTGCATCTCGGGAAGCATGATCGGAGCAATCTCTATGACCATAGCGGGCCTTCTCGCCCGTTATGATTGATTCCGGCGACATGGAAGGATTGCACGACTCGACCGATGAATCACCTACTCTAGGATCTTTCACTAGGATTTAAGAAGAAAAAGTATATAAACCAGCTCATGCTAATCCTTCTCTCTCCAGTGCCAGAAGTTCTTTTCCTTCGTCTAACTTTATTATACTCAAGTCGCTTAACTTAGCACACAATAATCAAAGCATTAATGCATACGAAGGAAAAGTTTAATCATTCATTGAGCAGCACTCTCGTACTCAAGGGGCACGCGCGTGTCGTGCGACGCATGTGCAATACCCCAACTTGCCCAGTATTTTACAAAGAGACAGCATCATCTCACGCTGTTAGCTGCTATCTATGTATTAAGATTAGATTTAAACAGATAGGTTCGGGCATTAATAAGTATTATTAGGGTTTATCATCGTCGAGTACGAACAAGAGTGCTCTGATGAGCACTCCAGACGAAACCCACGTCCAGGAAAAGGACAAAGGCATTTTCTTAATCCCAGATTTTCTACCTATTAAGAACTATTACTAGAGTTTTTGTTCTCTCCATTTTCATTAAACTTCAACCCACTTTTTAAATGAATATCGTGAGGGTTTGGACGTATTATGTTCATCGCTTAATATATTGATTACGGACCTAATTAAACTAATGATCTCAAAACCCCGGTACACTACGGCATGATGATTACGCCGACCGCATCGACCCTCGATGCAACGTCGAGTCGTAATGGCGCCAAGTCGAGTGTAACCTAAGCAACTTGCTAGCAAACCCCTCAGGTATGGATCAATTGCAATTTCGATCCACGAGTTTCGGTTTTTTGCAATTGTTGTCCTTGACCGCCGAGATTATTACCGAATGGTATGGACCGG